GGGGGGGGGCTGTTCAGGGGGGGCTGAGGGCAGTGACTATTTATCTCTCAGTATGTCTATTTCTGTTGGTCCCATCCCCCCTTCAGCTGTCCCGCTCTCTCCACAAGCCTCTCATGCATCCCTTCCTCACGTCATCCTCATTTGTGTCTTCCTGCCTCTCTGACAACTCAAAACAAAAGTTTAACATTGTAAAGATCTGGATTCAAAGGTGATTAACACTCTGTGCTCTGCTGTCTTAACAAGTCAGACCAGCAGGGTTTATCACACTGACGTTTCTGGTTGATTCCAGTGTGCGTATGAGTGAGTATCTACAAGGTTTGAGTATCTACAACTTGTTTCACCTTCGTTGAGTAGTACAGAAAGGCATACATAGTAAAGTGGAGGTCCCAATATAAGACAGACTTTTAAATAGCATTACTTAAGAAGCATTGCTGTACATAATGTTTCCCAGCATGTGGGTCAGTCCTCATTAGATGATCAACAACATAAGACCAAATAAATATTTTACTCTGAATTATGTTAATAGCTTTCTAACTAGGATTCCGTTTTTTGCAAATGTCTTGTAAGTACTCTTCTTAAAATCATCCCAATTAAACACTCTTCTCAGAACTCCTAGATGTGATGAAGGGTTGCGAGTTGATTTTGTTTAAAGGTTAGGAGCCAGTATTTTCACATTACGAGTGCAATATTGACCCTTAGCATCTAGCATATGCCTACTTCTGTGACATGAACAGTTTTATTGTCAACATCAATGATAATCCAAAACAGAATAAAGAAGTACTCAAACAATCTACATCATATGTATTAATGGCTGATAGAAGCCAATGTTTTTCCCACAAAGTCCCAACAGGAGTTTGATGTCGCAGCAGACTTTATGGTGTAGCCGAGAGTCTGCTATGTACATACATGATGTCAAACAGAGCAGCTGCCCTGAGGAATCACGTTTTCCAGCAGGTGTTTGTTCACCTAGGGGACTGCGTCTGTGTCATTTCCCTGCCTTCCTATTTTACCAGCCGTTAACGACAGCTGCCTGGGAACAAAACCGCAGACGCTACAACTTGTAGGGAAACTTAAATTATGCACTTATTGAATGCTGTTTGTCACAGAATGCCAGTTGTCTCCTGAAAGTTGTAATCAGTAAAGTAATACATTGGATTAGTTAAACTCAGTAATATCATTTGGAAATCATTCAGATATTCAGTAAAGATTTTGCCCTCAAGATATAAAGAATCTGTGAAAGTAATACAATCATAAATAATCATGGACCTTTTTTTATGTTTGATTGTAGCTTATTAAGACATGCAATCACTATGTTATGGAGTTCAAAGTTGATTTAAATAAGAACATTTCCTGATAAAGGCAAACTGTTTGTTTTGCCATGCCTATCAACAATGGTTCAAGTGTCCCACAGTGTCATGAGCACATCCGTTGGTCTCAATCTCTGCTGTTTACACATCTATTCAAGACATGTGTGTCAGTGTGTATCAATCCCTTAATACATTCACCCTGATCAATACCATCACTCTATTGATCACATCATAGACAATGTGACACACCAGCCAATAACCCCCTCCAACACTTCACCTCTACATATCGATGTCAACGATGCAAATTATGCACCCAGATATAAAGCCATTGTTCTGTGGGGATAATAAACCTTTCTCTGTTATAATTGGCGTGAGTTGAGACTTCAGGATCCTCACCTGAGCGGAACTTGTTCCTGATGAGAAGCGACCTCTCGGAGGCCAGTAGTGTCATGGTGGAGGGGGAGGGTGGGGGTGAGAGAGAGGAAGTTCCTGGTGTCGCTCTACCAGGAGGAATGGACCCCTCTCCTTATGCCTCTCACTGGTGCAGAGAAGCAGAGGAAGCAGGGTAGTGAGAGAGACAGATGCTTGTTAATCCACTGATAGACACAAACCGATATTGATAGAGGCACACAAAGCACAGCGGAGATAGATGGAGGGGGAAATAAAGACGCAAAGTCTCCAGACCTACAGGCAGACTGAAAACTGCGGCGAGCTGCTCTGGCAACAGCAGGCCTCCCTATAGACAGCCTGTCATAATCACACAGAGAGTCACACAGGCCCACCCACAGAGACAAACTAACGATACAGAGAATTAAACTGACAAGATGGCTTCTACAGAGAGGGGGGTGACAGAGACAGAAGCCCCAGCAGATACTCAGACGTCAGGGCCGATAGTGACGGACAAACATGAAGTGGCAACACCTACAGCATCGCACAACACACTCACACTGTGACAGCAGGGCTGCAAATGTGTCATGCACTAAAAGAAGTGGGACTGCTTCGCTGAAATAAAGAGAGCTGGGAATCTACATAAGCTGCATTAGTGCACACACACACAACCTTAACAATATTGATTTGAGCTGGCCGGCCACAGAACACCCAGAGGAAGCCTGTTCGAAGGGAATGGACAAACACACACACAAACACACACAAACACACATGTTGTGAAGTAGCCGAGGTTATGCATACTAAATCACCACAGTGCTCTTCCTATTCCCAATACCATAAACACACACACCGCATTTATTTACAAAAGTCCAAAAAGAAGGCCACACACGCATAAATGCAATTTACTAACAAGCAATTGATTTAGATTTGTTGTTTGCCACAAACATGTTTCACAGTAGGGCATGGAGGCAGAAGCAGGCACTGAAAACACAGAGAGAATAAAAGCAAGAGAATGAAAGAGAATACTTACAGGAAAAGAGAGAATTGAGTCCCTCAGGGGAAATTGAGAGTGGATTTAAGATTAAATTGAGAGAGGTGCGAGATGGAGGAAGAGAGGGAAAGAGAGAACTTCGTAGTGCGTTTAATGACGATTCCTTTCTTTCATGTTCTTTTCATATCCTTTTTTTTCTTGTTGCCCCCTTTCACACTTCTTTTCTTCCCCTAAAGGTGAAGTGCAAAGAGAAAAAGGATCAGTGGTTCCCTCTTCCCTTCTGCGATACAAACTCACCCTCTCTACCTCTGCCTCGCTCTCTCTGCCCCCTCTCACCATCCGCCCCAATGCATCCTGGATCCTTGGTGCCAACTGTGAGCGACTGTCAAACTTTCCCCCTCCCCCTCCATGGCCTCGTCTCCCCCCCTCCCCTCTCGTATAGCAGCAATTCACTCCCCCCTGACATATGCTGACTGATTGATTCAGGTGGAGAATCAAAGACAATAAGCATGTTTGTGTTTGTTTGTACGTGACTTTAAAGAAAAGTAGACTCACTGGTGAAGTTAGTCCAGCAATGTTAGGAGCTGAATTGCCACATAATGTGATGGATAGAAAAGTGAAGGCAGAATAAAGAGACGCTTTATTACAGTCAGCGAGAAAAGCCCGGGAGTGTTTTGGACTCACATCAAATCATGTACTGCAGCAGCACTGCAGGCTCATATGCTCCTGTCAAGACACCTTTGGGTCACCCTCTTTAAGTGATTTAGTAGTGTTTGCGTGCAACTACACTTGTGTGTGTGTGTGTGTGTGTGTGTGTGTGTGTGTGTGTGTGTGTGTGTGTGTGTGTGTGTGTGTGTGTGTGTGTGTGTGTGTGTGTGTGTGTGTGTGTGTATGACACGACTGAGAGTCACAGGTCAGTAAGTCAGTGTCCGTCAGCATATACTTTACAGTATCGCGCTGGTGCCAAACGAAATCACTCGAGTTTAACCTCAAAGCTTCAAAGCAACTTGCAGGAGAGTGTTTGCCAGTGTGTGCGTGCTCTCTACGTGTGTGTGTGTGTGTGTGTGTGTGTGTGTGTGTGTGTGTGTGTGTGTGTGTGTGTGTGTGTGTGTGTGTGTGTGTGTGTGTGTGAATGAGCCTTAGGGCTGCAGAGGGGGAAAAATGGGGGACGTGAGGTCGTTGCTGGAGCACCTGTTCTGTCGATTTGACAGACAGGCCGGTGTGTGCTGGTTCAGCAGGTCGTTGGGAGGGGGAAACAGAGGGGGGAGGTAGAGAGGGTGAGGAGACAGCAAAAGTTGGAGAGGCAGGGAGGGTGCAACACCGGGGGAAGCCTTTACTGAGGGGACAGGAAGAGAGCTGGGGCCGACACAGGTATACATCATGGGAATGGGTTGCTCTCATTCCATCAGATGTGAAAGCAAAGAGAAAATGACGTGGAGATCCACTAATCGGAGAACACGGAGCAGAGATAGCAACACATGGGCCAATTACGGTTGCCATGGCACAAAATGGAACAACTAATGGATCACAAAGTGAATGGGAACCTTCATTTAATACGAGGTTATAGACTGACAGCTCTTTTTGCACAGAATGTCTGCTTCTTTCGTCATTATCGAATCTCACCTTTGACTGCTTTTCCTCTCATGCCCTGTAAAAGCATTTCACAAACACACACACACACACACACACACACACACACACACACACACACACACACACACACACT